CGCACACATAAACACACACAAACACACACACACAGAAAGAGAGAGAGAAAGAAAGAAATGAAAGAGAGTATTCTAATAAAATAGGAGAACCCTCTGGCTGCAGATTCTACCAGTCTGATCTCTCAACCTCTCAAAAAGATCCTGGGGTTTCCCCAATGAAGCTGCATTAATTGACCAACATCTTATGAGCCACCATGTGATCAATAGTCCTGCCTAAATCTGTATAATCCCTTTACCACTGTTAAATGATCAATAGAAGAAGAGGTTGCTCACTGTGTACACAGCACAGCAAATCATTATGATGATATCTACAAGTGTAAAATCGCCATTCTAGACACATCTTCCACTATTTCACTCTAACTGATAAGACCCAGTTGTGTGTACAGTGGACATGAAAAATTCATCATCATAACAAGTGTAGTAAGAGAACTGTTTGCACATCTTTAGGCCTGTAAGTGAGGGGGGAGTAACTATTTTGACCATAAAAAGGTCTGGACACACTAAATCAATATTTGATCTAGGTCCTGTGCCATTATGGTGATTCGGTTCACTTTTTCCAGAAAAAGAACCCTTTTCTTTGAAATTGCAACTTATGTTAGATGCAAAGCAGACATGCTGAAACTGTCAGTCCGATTGGTCATGAACGTGAAAATTTGTCTGGACCGGTAGAAAATTGGACTTGGTCGGTCTAAAGGACCAACAAGAGTTTTAAGAACCACAATTCTGAATTTACAGTCATCTTTCCACATACCACACTAATAAAATTATATAAAACCTAAAGCGTTTTTTCTCTTCCATATCAAAACTATCACATTCACAAACAAAGTAAGCTACGCTAATCGTACTGGTAGTATCTGTCTTAAACGAATAGTGATTTTCAGTCCGACAAAAATCCATTTGGTCCGGCAAATTTTTCATTACAAGAGTTTTCAGCATGTCTGCAAAGACAAATCTAACTTTAACTGAAATCTCTCTCTCTCTCTCACACACACACACACACACACACTCATGGAATTTTTATGGATATTTTAATATTGCAAGCAGTATAATGTAATACTAACACAACTGTGGGTCTGAGCCCTCAGGGACAACCATTACAGACTGTCCCCATGTGACACCATTGACAACTAAACATGAGTTATCCCCAAGAAGGCTATGTGATAAGGTCAAAACGTTGCCACCTCTTTAAGATCCAATATAAAAGTTACAACCATTTCCAACATTATCTTGGTTTAAAACAACTGGATGAATCAAAAATTTCACTTCAATACACCAGGATATGCATTGATGCCTGCGTTTGCTTCATCTGCTTCAATCTACCAACAGATATATTTCATGGCAGGAATGCCTACCATCTAGGCAAATACACTTTCCATTTCCATGCATCTTTTTTTTTCTGTAACCTTTTTAACCAGAGATTCAGATTCAATTTCCCTAACTGGGAGTTAATTTTCCATTTGATTGATAAGACTGTATGCACAAGAATCCTGGGTATCCAGGGACAGGACACATGGCAGTGAATGCTACATACAGCCTACGGGTCTATCTTCAAGTGTTTCGCTTTGGGGTCATTCACAATGGTCACAATTTAAACAGAAAAATACTGGTTATAATAATACATTATAGATATAAAAGAGTGTAGTAGCCCGAACGGTCAGTTCAATTTCAATTTTGCAGACCCTAATTTTCATCAAACCAAATGCCCTTCTGCTAATTAATACATTTTTCTTTCCATAACAACAAGACTATCCAATTTGTTTACCACAATTTGAATTGCAATATCTATTGGCATGTCTTTAGAGAATCTTATCATGGAAGGCAATAAAGAAAAGTTGACTCCTTAGCTACAAACTGTAGACTCGCTGTTAATGTCCTCAATGTATACTGTAACACAAATATAATGCAAATAACTTTTAGAAGGGACTTTAATAAGGGACAAAAGAACAGCCATAGGACCAGCCACTTAGCCTCATAGGCTGGGTTCACAACTAAACTAATTTAGACTGGAAATAGGATAAATAACATCACAAGACAACTGTGGGCCTATTCCACTCAACCACTGTAAGCTCACCATTGTCTTAACAGTGTTATTAACTAAATTTACCTAGCATTTAAAACAGAAGAAGTAATGCAAACTACCTAACGCTTCAGATTATGCATTGGCACCACATTGCACCTTAGCACTAACTCTGGATCGAACTATCGGATAATCGCTTAATTGCAATTAACTTAAGCGGCTTAGATGTCTGTTAGGCCTACTGAAGCTGATAGGGGGTAATTAACTATTGTTTAGTAGGCAGCCCAGACATCTAAGCCACTTGCGCTGAAAGCAATTTAGCGAGAAACCCCATGGAGATGGACCGATCCTGTTAGATCAATCCAAGGATAGGAACCCAGTCTTCGACTTTTGAGTGACATGTACTCATGGTTGTTCATTGGTCTGGTGGTGTCGGTCAAACTATATCAAGTTTGACTTAGCCTAGTTGTGAACGCATCCATAGGGGGCCTGTGGCATGGATCAATCTCCATGTCTGTGTGCTTTTCTCCTGCTCTCAGGATAATTGACTAACTCAACTACAAATATAATTTCAAGATTCACTCCAGCAAATGTTGCCAGACCTGCTTAGACACAGGTTGCCCAAGGTCAGATGAGTATAAGACACCAGTTTGGCTGTAAGGCACATTGCACAGAACAGCTGTAATCTAATGAGAATTTAGGGGACCAAATACAGATACCTGGTGTATTTAATTTTGGGCAACTTAAAAAGTAAAAGAATTCATATATATATAAATATACATATATAAATTTTAATTAAAAACTAGTAATGAAGTTCAAGAAATAAACTCTTTATTAACTCTTTATAAACTCTTTATTTAATATACAGTGAGTATCTGATTACATCAAAACAATTTAAATATACATAAGGAATAATGAAAAAAAATTTGATGTGAGGAATATAGATTACAGCCTTAAAACAAACCCTTAACTGCATATTAAGTGAAAAACTAGAGATAATGTGAAAAAGGTGTTCAAAAATAACAAAATAAAGACAGAAGGAGAGAGAGAGAAAATATAAAAGAAATGTGCTATTATGATATTTGACACATTCCACTTTTCCTACCCATTATACCCATATACACCTAAAACAATTTGTTTTACCAAAAGCAAAATTAACTAAATTCACCTATATCTTTTCCAGTATTAGATAAGACATCAAGACATGGGTGGACATCTCACCTTAGCAAATGAGCATCCTTCTTAGTGTTAAACGGTGAGTCTCCATCCCTTGGATGTTTCTTCCAGAGCGGGGCACACAGCTTGTTCCCCATGCTTTCATCTCTAGGGGCATCACATCATGGACTGGACTGGAACTGGAAAACATATACAGACTATTGCTTAGGTTGGTACAGTACATATATACTTCTGCTGACACAGCTCACAGGTCAAGAAATAGAACATTTAAAGCAAAAGCAAATCAAGAACTGTAAAGAGAAAAAAGGGTACATTTCCCCAATCTTTTTTCCAGGTATTTTGCTCATTTTCACAAAAGAGTCCACAACAAAGGTAGGAGATATTAATATTTCTTATCCATCAAAAATATATGTATCTCTGACTTTGTGTTCTAAAATAGGATAATTTCTCATTATGATACATTGAACTTTTTCTTCACATCATCCAACTGCCTCAAAGAAAAACAATGCTCAATTCTTGACAGCTTGGTTGGATGGTCCTTTGTCTTTAGTTCACAGAGGGACAGAAGGGTCCTTGATCCAAATATGTGGAAAATAGACCCACATAAGTCTAAGGGTTCAGTGGTTCAAAAGTTACTGAAAGAGGCACTCTGTTTTGACAGAGTTGCTAATCAGGTGGAAACTGTTCCTCTTCACTAGTAGAAAATGCTACTGAACATCAGAACAAACAATTTCTCTAAAAGTATTTTTTTCTTACTATGGAACAGTCTGATCTATGAACCTCTGGACTTTTCAATTTGAGAAGCAGAAATACTTTCAAGAAAGCTTCATAAGCTTTTCTCTTTCCACTGTACAATGATCATATAATTCCGTTCTTTAACGACACAGCAATACATGTGTTTAAAACAGATCTCCCATCCTAGCTGCTTCACCAGACCAGGTCAAGTTAACATCCAGATTGCTCTACATTACAAGAACTAAGTGCACAATTAAATATAACAAGCAGTATAAAAAGCATCTTAAATGCTGGTAGTATATCTATATATCCACTCTGGCTTTGTCAATCATGCCAGTAAAATAGCCACGTCCCCACTCAGATGGTAAAATCTCAATACCGCCTTAATACAATCTCCATTTGCAATTATTTATGACCCAATACCTTCAATTTCCTGCAAAAACCTGGAAAACATTATCATTGTTCTGTAGGCTTATCTTAGCTACTGATCTAAAAGCATCAATTTCATTCTCATCATATCATTTGTAGGCTTTTTTCAAGGAAACCGGGCAGAAAAGCTTACTTAATTTTCAAGTATGTTTTCAGCTTTTTGACGATTTGCATATTCGTATCTACAAAAAGGGAAAAAGGGAAATGGGAGTGAATGGCACTACTGTAAATCAATCTTTGACTAGCCTGCTTGTTTTTACACTAGTAAGAAAAGGGTATTTTACAGCCATTTTTGGTAAGATTAAAAAATTATGTCTACATTAAGAAAGAATATTTCATATACACTTTAAAAATGTGCCCCAAAATTTTAAAACAGTGCACAAAAGAAATATGACTACTAGGGTACGATATGGATTCAAAGGGTCAACTGCAACGGTAAATTTTCAATCTATACTCAGGCAATAGTTATTGAGGCAGGGAAGTACTTGAGATAAGCAGACTTTTCAATATACCACTCACCATTCTGTGTCTGTACAACCAATAAAGACTGTAATCTTTTCTGCATACATCAGTCACATTTGTAAGCTCTGCCACACATCTCTCTCTCTCTCTCTCTGTGTGTGTGTGTGTGTGTGTGTGTGTGTGTGTGTGTGTGTGTGTGTGTGTGTGTGTGTGTGTGTGCACCTTCATAAAAAAATTAGCCAGTGTTATCTTCCATACAATATGTAAAAAGAATATAAAACTAAGCCAACAACAGATGAGACGAGTCAGGACTAAAACATGAGTATCGCCAGTGCTCAAGCTGGTGGTACTAACTAAAATGAACATAAATTCAAGTAAGAAAAAAATATGTATGCTTATAGTTGAATAATAATAATATCCATAGGGTTGCTCTCTAATTTCTTATAAAATGATTCTGAAAAACATTAATATAAATAGTGTTATATAGAACACTCATGCTGCACAAACATATAGAGCACTTAGCTGTAGGCTGCCACAAACCTTCCCTACAGCAACTTTTAACCTTGTCATTTTCACTTAATACACATGACAGCTTACCACGTCACTTTCCTTTCAACTAAGAACAAGTAATATTGATCGATGACTGGTTCAATATTTCATAAATATATATTATTAATGTCTTCTTATAAAAAAAAAAACTCTTAAGTTGTTTCCTGGCATATAAGATTTGCCTTTGTGATGTGCCTGCTTTCAGACAATTTTTTTATTAATGCCCATCAAAATTACGAGATTTATATTACTTTAGGCAAGGTTCCTGAGGGTGAAGTTTTACAAAGAAGAATGGAAGTAATAACAAAATCTATAAGAATGGTTGAAATGATCTCACTATATTTTAACCTTGTAAATATCATTTGTGAAACCATACATAAACTCCTCAGAGTTTCTTAATTACTCCCAAGGGACCCCGCCACACTTATGTCAGACATGTTAATGGTATATTATATCACAGGGATGCTTAACAGCATGAAAAACATCACCACTGCTTAGACCTAGCATATAAAGAAATGCTCAGACAACTAAAAGATAAATCGCACACACTCATGCACACACAACACAAACACAAATATACTGTTACACATACTAAACTTACCACGTTATAACTTTAAAAAAATGAAAAAAAAAATTAAATAAGAAGCAAACTAATTTGCGTAGGACGGCTCTAAACGGAAAAACCAGTTTGGCGACATTTAATGCTGTGCCTTTTGCAATTCCTACCTGAACTGACTGCAATATCATGTTAATTATCTGTATCGGGAATATAGACACCTTTCAACAGTAAGGAGGTTTTTATTGGAGCGTTCTGTATCATACTGCATGTCCCCACAAACCTGCATACACATTAATCCACTGCCAGGTCAAAACTGAATAAAGTGCACAGGTCTTCTGACAGAATAATTTAACCATTAGAGTGTAAAATGAAAATACTGCTGTATTCTCAGCTGGATATTTCAAATGAAACACAACTGAAAAGTAGAAATCCAACTTACAGTAATGCCAAACAAACAAGCAACCAACCAACCAGAGCTCCAAGTGTATATTCCTTTCATTGTCATGTCTCATTCATTTACACCTAGATAAATAATGATCTAAAGGTTTGTCAAAATTATATCACATCTTCACAGTAACTAAAAATCTTATCTTGCCTGTATATTGCTCCTGGTACATGAACAGTGTGCTTCCGGCTATATAAGTAAACACTGGCAACAGCCACATGGTCTCCCTTTAGAATGTTACTGAGAATTCTACACAAATCTATGGGGAAGATGGTCCTCACAGAAATCAATAGTTTTGCACAGATATGGATACAGCCCCCCCCCCCCTTCCCCTTACTTCCAGATCCCTTAAAACAATACTGGGTTCATAAGCTAATCAAGTGATATCTTGTCAAATTCATCAATGAATCTTGTCATTAATTCCTGGAGGCTGCCTTATGAAAATAGATGACGCACGAGGCACTATCAATTCTATCTGTGTGTCCGGAAATGGAGAATGATGCTGCCAGAGAGATTGCAGCAGCAGGCGTAAATGGAAATTACAGTTGGGAAAGTGACACTTGTAACAACAAGGGGAAATGAAAGATGGAAGAAGATCATTGCTGCTTACATGGATATTGAATAACTTTAATGCTGATTAATAAAGGAATTGTGTGCAAGAAAATGTGTTCTCTTTTCTTTAACCTGATTAGCTTAATTGGACATATATGCTTACAACATTATCAGCTATAAGATATCTGACAACCTTTGTCAATTATGAGTCATATCAATCATGAGATCTCGAGTTTCTTTGAAGAAATTTATCTCACATAAAAAAAATTGAAAAGAAATCTTTCTCACATTGATTGGCATGATATAGCCAAAACATAATGCACAGAATTTGGAAAGTTTTAACGATGATTTATTGACCCATTAAGCACCATAAGATGCACCCAAAAACTGAAATTTGGATCTATTCAGAGAATTGATTTGGCCATAGCACATAATGCAAAGGTCCACTGTAATGATTTCTGGGTTGACTTTTCTCCTTATCTCTTTTAGGAATGATCAATTTCTAGATAACCCCTGCTGGCACTCACTCAGGAGAAAGTCTGTTTTAATACAGAAGATTTTCAAAAACAAATCTTAGTCAGTGCAAGGCTGCAAAACTGGTAAGTAAATTGGTGATAAAATATGACCTATTATACACAAACATTTTCCCTTGTAAAAATGTGGCCCATCCATCAATTATCATTTCTCCTCTTATCCCCTAGACTGCCTGATGGGTAACAATTATGATGTATACAGCAGGACAGACTCCCTTCAGAATTCATCTTCAGTGCTGGGGAAAACCTACAAGGTTTTACCAACAATCTGATATACATAGATCTCACATCTGATACATGGAGGCATTAATGTATTTCTTTTAAAATTCTCTCTCATATTGAAAGAAAGTAATTCTGAAAGGCATTCACTTGATTATGGGTCTCTCTGGGCAGGAGGATGCATGGAGAAGAAAGCCTAGAGCACTGTACTGGCCAGCACTCTATGGAAAATGCATTCTGATTTGTGTCTGTTAAAAGACTGTATTTCTAATTGCATGGGAATTTGTTCCTTGCCACCAATCATCAATCAGCTTTACTTTGATATATTCTTTAATGATTGATCATCTAGATAATGACTCTTGGGCAAGGCTTTACCCAGGACTGTACCAAAGAGCTAGTCCTACCTGGGTATCTGAGCTACTGGTGGCATCAAGTTTACGGTAGAAACCAGAAGGGATGTTTCAACTGGTTACCTTATAGCAAGTGGTTATGTGGGCTCTGTGATCAATGTGGATTTTACTGTTTATTTGGACAGTACACATATCTCATCTCTGGCTTGGTAAAACATCGTTTTTTTTTTTACTTAACAATCTAGGTACATCAAAATACCTTATAAGAATTTCTAGGCAATCCACCCATCCCATCAAATCAAGCCATCATATCCTCAAAATTTTGTACAATTCTCACAGATAATGGTTGTCTTCTGAAGGAACAGGCTGTCCAAATGACAGCTGGAGGACTCTACTGAAAAAGCCATGCTCTTGACTAAAATAAATCCTTTCTGCAGTGATTAAAGTGATTTTGCCAGTCTACTGACCTTACAAAAACAGGCCTCATGAACAATAATTGCCATTTGCTATTATGAACCTTAGATTTGGGAGCAAGAATGTCTAAATTACCCACTTGAGCCATGTTTTAAGTGCTGGAACATAAAATAAGTAGCCACAAGCACAGCTTCAGAGCACACAGTTGATTTGACCAGCTTTCATCAGGTTCTCTGGCTGTGCACGTATGGATTCTTTACCTCAACCCAGGTCTATTTTCAATATGGTGGAAGATACAGGAAACAGCACGTCAGAGCTCTCAGAGATTCCTTGTCGAAAAAGAGTGACATTTTTTCCTCTTTTAACTTCTTTGATGAAAATAAAAGGAGTCTTTGGACTTCTACACCAAAGCCCCAAAAAGTGGCTAGAACTTGGCAAAAAGGACAGAAGCAAAATTGATTTAATGATAGTTTCCACAAACTCACAAATATCTGTTTTCATGTATTCCTTTTATCTTAGAAAAAAAAATACAAAAAAAAAGTCTCAAAACAAACCAAACTAATTCATATAATCTACTATCAGTACCGCATATTAATATGGCAGCAATGTGCTCTCGACTATTTCTGGCTTATACAGAACATACCAAATGGGTAGTTCAGTGGATTCACGGCCCATAGTTCCTAGCGCTGTGCTTGTGGCTACTTATTTTATGTTTGGGTTCTTAATTTGTGGTTTAAGTTGTTAATTTGGGCATTCGTATTCACAAATCTGGGGCTTAAGTTTACAAACATCTCATCCCTTTTTAAGGCTTAAAAAGTCCTTATCTGTCTAGTTGGTGCCCTAGAGAAGCAGCACTTATATCAACATGCAATGCTGTATCAAAACTTAGTTATAAAAACTTGGATGGAAAAATTTAATTGTCTATATCATTTATTATCACATCCACGTCATAACACACTTCATTAATTTGACTGGTTTCACAGACTATCATTTGCATATGTATACTAACAATATGATACTAACCCTGCTTTTAGATATTAATCAAGTAATGTTAAATAAAGAGACCAAAACATAGTGGTTGGGCCAAACCATCTGGTGCTAACACGATTAAAGTGTGACATTGATCAAACCACAGTTCATGGTGAAGAACCAACTAGCAAGAACCTGCCATACATTGAATATTACCACAGAAACTCAGTTACAGAAGATATCAGAAAAAAAAATGGGGAAAGAGAGTCAGTAATGCAGCATAATCATGAACAGAAAATCAATATGAGTACAAGAGATTGATAACACATCTGCAGAAAGAAGCATGTTCAGTCCCATGTAACTATTCCTCCCACACTGCTGCTGAACTGCATGTCTGCATTTTAAGTGCATGGTAACAGCATTTGCTACACCCAGTGGTCTGCATGCCCCCTGTCTAATTGATAATAATTCCTCCTACATGTCCCAGTACTACTGGGTGCACTGCAGGTCAAATATAACTGCTCTTCTCTGGCATCATGGACCTTCCGCATGGAAACCAATGAGAGTCCTCTACACATGTAGTGTGCTGTCTGGCCTGTGTTACCATGGCAATGTGCAATAGTCAAGTTCTGTTTACACATGACGCACAATTAATAGCCCTTGTATTAAAATGGCCCAGTCTGAGCAGTTTTATCTCCATATCTTACTTTTTTCTTTCTCCCCTCCCAAGAACTTCCCAGCTTTAAATTTTAATCTGTACATAATTTTTTTAATCTTTGGTCAGTGAATTAATTCAGTTCCTAAAGCTGGTGGGAAGCACAGCTGATTTTATCAACCAGTAATTACTAGATTTATATTCTTAGATCCGAAAGATTACTGAAATTTTTCAGTTCATTTCCTAACTGTTCATTTCCTGAAACATTATTTTCATGGTTCCATGTTTTTTAACTGATTTCATGCATGCCAAATTTAATAATAATTGCTTGCTGCAGGGAAGCTTATGCAATAGAAACGTTTGATACAACTGACATAATAAAGTCAAACTCTCCCTAGATCAGGAGTAATTCAATGACAACAACACATTTTCATCTAAATCCAACTTGACATGAAAGGTTTAGCCTACACAATGAATAGCACACCTTTCCATCATAAAAAAGTCAATTCTGCAATACATTTATCTCAATTTTCCAGGGAAAATACAAAGACCAAGTTCCCTGAAACATTATCTTCATGCTAATCAATCCAGAAAACCCACAAATTACTGGCAATTACAGCAGTGTCTATCCATCTGTTGAGCAAAAATAATGAGTTTTTACAATTTCAAATCTATGGCATATGCGCTACCTCTATAGGTAAGTAGTCTTGGCAAAAAGAGTAAAACAATAGATAGCTGAATTAGTTTTACTGATTGTCCAAATCCATCTTTACAAAAATTAATTAAATATAATTAAATAATAAAAATAACAAAGAGAATTAAAAATATAAGGTCATCATATTTGTCCAAATGGTATCTGAATAGTAACTGTTTTATACATATACTAATATAACCATACACTTACAGTCTTACCTCTACTGATAGTCAGGACTGTTACTCTTCTTTAAATCTGAAAAGATAATAATAAAAATAATAATCAATTAAAAAGTTAGACATAGAGAGGCTGAGAGTATTTAAGAAAACTGAGTTGGGGTATAAAATCACCATATATTTATTAACTGTAAGGAATACCTTTAACATACTCGAAGGTGTTAACATGGTCCACATTCGATCAGTTTCACCATAACCTGTACAGCTAACCTATTTAATACGCATAATGAACAAAAGCAACAACAATGAAAAGCATAAGAGGTTCTTCGATAATTTCAACATTAAATGCATCAAAGACTATAATAAATGGAAATACCTTTATTAGTTACTGAATTCATCAGTATTATTTACTTCCTATTATGTGCCCTAATCAAAATATTGGGCTCCTGACAAGCACTATCAAGCATGCTAATTGATAAATTTGTTTGGAAAGAAAGCAGGCTCTGTGAGGGGACCAGTGTTTGGTATTGATCCCATGCCTGTCCATGTAGAGCAGAGAGATTGATAAGAAACTGCCAATACAACGATTAAATTAACTCCACCATGAAAAAGTGGTTACATGTATCCTTGCCCAACATATTTGCTCTCTCTGTCTCTCTCTCTCTCTCTCTCTCTCTCTCTCTCTCTCTC